CGATCCCCGTAATCCCCTCCTGTGACACCCCTATTTCCTCCTGTGACCCTCACCACCACATAATTCCCTCCTGTGACCCCCAGTCACCCCCCCGTGACTCGCTGTAACATCCGTAATTCCCTGCTGTGACCTACCATAGACCCTGTGACCCTTAAACCCCACAGTCCCTTCCCGTCACCCTCCAGGGTCCTCTCTGGCACCCCGTAATCCCTCGCTGTAAACCCATCTGTTCCCACCATGATCGTCATCCCTCCCCATGATCCCTATCACCGCCCATGACTGGGACTCCCTGGTCCCATCATGCCTTTCCCAGTATGACCTCGAAGCAGCAGCAATTATTAACCTTTAGGGAGGATGAGGCACTCATTCCCCCTGCTGCCCCCTTCCCAGCTGCTCATCACCAGTCCCTGGGAAATGGGGGGCCCAACCCCACCCAGCAGGACACCCTGAGCCCCTCGGTGTTCCTGTTGGCCCCCCCAGCACTACGTGGGCAGAGGGCCGAGGAAGGGACAGAGACTCAGCAGGGAGCACCCAGCAGACCCGCAAAGTCGGGGGACACCGCACCGGGGAGGCCAGCAAGGACCCTGCAGCATCCCCTGCCCCTCCTGGATCCCCCCACCCTGCTCCCCACCAGCTCAAGGATGGACACTGGGCTCGCTGGTCACATTAGAGACATTTACTGCTGGAGGCATCTCCTGTGCCGCTGCCAGCAGCTGCCAGAACCCTCCTGTGGGTCCCCAGTGGCAGCTCGTCCTCTGCCCGCCTCAGTTTGACAGATGCAGAAACTCCTCATCCTCTGCAAGTGGAGAGACACACGGGGTGACAGACAGACGCACAGACCCCCTCCTCGCCCCACAGATATGCTTCCTACTTTGTCCCTGCTGTCAGTGATGGGGGAAGCGGTCTGGACCCTCCGCGCACCCTGGGATGTCACTTCATGTCCCACCACCCACCACGGTGACATTCATGCACTTTATATTGGTGACAGGATAACAAAAGATGGGTTCTGCCCTGAGATGTGTTACTCTGGCCCCATCTCCCATCTGTGGGGGCACGGCGCACCCCTGGCTCCGATGCCCTGGGAGCTGGATCACCCAGGGCTGGCTGTGGTTGAAGACCCCGGAGCTCACCCCTCTGTGCGGAGAGATTCCCCCTGCCACGCTCCTGAAAACCTGCTTGTCCATCTGTCCCAAGAGCTGAGTGTGTCTCCCAAGGAGGTTCAATATGGAAACTCCTGCGCTGCCTAGAGCTGGAGGGTCTGGCAGGCATGGCACGGAGGGTACACCCCAGTGGAGACTCCCGTTTGGTCCCTATTTGGTGTCAGGGTCCCTACACCACCTCAAATCTTTCAGCCACTCTTCCCTCATTGGCATCCCCTGCCCGGGGTCTATCGCCTCCACTGCTCCCCAGTGCACCCCAGCCTGCCTGAGGCTCTTCCTCCTTTTATCAAGAAGGACTCGGAAGTTCAGTCCTGGCCTTGGTACATCTGCAGCCTGTATGTACCCCGCTGTGAGATACTGTCTGCAGACCAACGACCATATTCCTCAGTCCATCAGGGTCCCCAGCCCAGGACGGACCCATCCGAGGCACAGCACAAACCCATCCCAGATCCATCCTGGACCCAGGACAGACCCATCCCAGACCTATCCCAGACCCAGGACAGACCCATCCTGAACCCATCCAGATCCAAGACAAACCCATTCCAGACCTATCTATCCCAGGCTTATCCTAGACCCAGGACAGACCCATCTTGGACCCGTCCAGACCCAGGACAGACCCATCCTGAACCCATCCAGACCCAGGACAGATGCATCCCAAGGCTCATCCCAGATCCAGGACAGCCCCATCCCCAACCCCAGGCAGACCCAGCCCACTCAGGGATGGGAGATGGTGCAGGCTGCTGCCCCGGCTCCCCCGGCACGGCACGGTGCAGCACGGGCAGGGTGCAGGCAGGGTGGGGGTACCTGCCAGCGGAGGAGCCCCGCAGTACTCCTTGCACTCCTTCTCCGAGTAGAACTGGTTCCCGTTGCCCTTGCAGCCTCCGTAGCTGAACGTGA